TGGACAGGTTTGATGTAGGCAAAGCTTAATGGCTTGCACTGCTTCCTTCCTCCACCCCATATGGAGAGGTTTGATCAGAAATTCAAAAAGACTCCTGCATGTATTTCCTTTTATTATGAGTAGTTATCACTCATGCATCATGCACTGGGCTTTAAAAAGTAATTTTTTTTCTGAAGTATATTATATGTGCCAAGAACATTTATATGTATTATATATAGTGGTTTGGGAAATTTTTGATGACAAACATCAGTGAGTATCTCTGAGTCCTCTAAAAGAAGTGGCCCAGATTCCCCTATTAAAAATGTATTAACTGTTTTGTACATGGCATGGTGTGTGTCAGTCTCTTCTTGCTGCCGTTGGCTCAGCTTTGGGCAATGCTGGCTTGATCTGTAATAGTCAGAACCTGGCTGATACATGAAGTTGGATCTAAGAACAGTTAGTAGTAGAGAAAATGACCAACCTTAACTGACACAACAATGTTTTTTTAAAGGTAAAACAGTCATTATAGAAAGCTTTAATGATTGATTTCAGACACCAGGAATACTTGAGCCAATTGCAGAGCAACAAATCAATGAGAGAAGCACTTTATTCCTCATATATTGGTTTAGGCTTATAGACTGTAAGGCCATAGAGAAACCAGCAACCACAGCATATGGCAGATGACGCATTGCAGACGTGCCGACTAGAGGGCTGATCAGAACCAGACTCTGTCTCTGTTCAGCACTGACCACAGTAGGGAAAGAGGAGGATCGAGGGGTTGAGGAGCTGTCATATTTCCCTCGGGTAGGGAGGGAGAGATTCCCATGTGGTTGAAAAATAATGTGACTCTACCTCACTGGAGAGAAGTTCGAGGGACCGAGGCACAGAGAGGGAGGAGAAGAATTGGTCATAGAGCATTTGTCATAGAAGTTCAGAAGTGTCACTGTCACCACAAAAGGCACTCCAATGCCTTTAACCCCGTAAAATGTGGCTGTGTGCGTGCTTCTCTGCATGTTTTTGTGCTCCATGCTTCCATGAAAGTGTTTTTCATTAAAGTTAGTGCTGCTAAGCAGCGAGAGGCTAGCATGGAAGATGTGGCAGTGGTGCGGTAGTCCCAGTCATCGTCAGTTAGCTCACAGAGGCCACTGAGGAGCACAGATGTTACCATGCTGCCTCTGAAACACCACAAATACACGCACCATACAAGATGTGAGCCAGATTTATCCCAAATTGTTGCTTGACACCCACCCTGACTAACAATATATTTAAAAGCCTAAGTGTGGAGGCAATGAGAATGTTTTTCTACTGACTTTCGTGGTTTGTTTAGTATGCCTTTATATGGAAACCAGTGGAAAGCCATAGTCTCATCACTAGCTGACAAATGTCTCTATTAGCTTGTATTTATCTTGGTGTCCACATTGTACTCTTGTATCCACAAGCTACAAGTTTGACTCATTTAAGGAAATGCTAAAAGTCAATTCCTTTCCAAAAAAGGCATTACACGAAAAGACCCAGGGATAATCTGGCATGATGAGATTTTTCACAGGTGTTTAAACAATGATTCACTTTTTTGTCCAATAGAGTCCCCCAACAATGCAAACTCTGTTTGTGGAGTATTTGCAATATCTCAGTAAGTTTGGAATCGCCGGCCACAAAGCTTGATTCAGTACAGTAAGCCTTTTTAGGTTGTAAAAAAAAATGGCTGCAAAAAATGAAAAAAAAAACCAAAAAAAAACGCTATACATTGGTCCAAGCACCCTGACAACTGAAAATGGAGAAAGAGACAAAGATACCTATGAGCAACACTTAAATAAGAATAGAAGAAAACGCCATGGTAAAAGAAATTGGAAAATCTGTACAGATTTAAATAGCAACAGGTTCCTGTGTCTGTGTGAAGTGCACGATAATACCTATAACAAGCCTTGAATTAACTTAAGGTGTGTTGCTGTAGCAAAGCTATTCTTAAAGCTACATAATAGAAATAGAAGCTTGGTCTAGGGAATTGGATCCCGGAATATCGGCTGAACATACTATGGATTAACAAATCACAGTTTAAACCTATTCAGTCTAATCACTGAGAAGACGGCAGAGGGTCCAAAGAAATATGGGTATGCCAAAATATTCAGTCCAGCACCATTGTGGTTCAATAATGATTGAGGGCCACTTGTGCCTTTCTGGACTGGAAAACAAATAAAAAATCGAAAGGGGATTTGGGGGAAGAAATGGTTGCTGTTTGTAAAATGTTAAAACATTGGTTATATGTTTCGTCTTACTTGTTTTTTTCCTGATTTGTAATTACAATTATTGAAAGTGCTCAATACTGTTTTCACACTTTCAAAGGCCAACTGCTGTCTTCAACCAGTGTGTTCAGTTTGCTGCATAGCTGTGGACCTACACACATAGTGTGGGGAGCAGAGAGAAACATACTTGACAATGGCTATGTGTTATAAGACTAAACTAAGAGTGTTAGCTGACAGAGGACTTGAAAAAGAAAAGAGGAAGACAGGGAGGGAATGAGAGAGAACAAGACCTTGGATGTATTGGGTTGAAAAAAGAAAGAAAGAATAAGCCTTTTGCTGCAACATGCTGCACAAATCAAACACTTAAAAGTGCCATGTGTGCACATATTAAAAAAGAAATATAGCACATAACACTTTTAGAATTGAATTAGAATAACTACTTATTGTAACTCATTTGCCTCTCTGGACTCTTTATCCCTTGTCTGCATTCCTTTCGGCGCTATCAGTCCTGAAAGAAACAGAAAGAGAGAGTTTTTATTACTGCCATGTTTAATAAAATAAGCAGGACAAAATATTTTATTAAGAAAACAGTAAGTGGCATTGAAATGTTTATTTCTGTAATGTCCCTGAGTGGTGGCCTTGGCTATTATTTATGAATTAACTGCTAAAAATGCCTTAAAAAATCAGTTTATGACACTACAGGGGGGACCATTAAAGTGGACCAGATGAGCTTACATCATACAGCATTTAAACTTTGCAAGAGTTTGACTAGGTTAATAATAGTAATGTTTTTACAGTAATGGTCCAACACAGAGCACTTTTATATGCCTCAGCTTAATGGAAAGAGTTTACTGTAGTCAGATTAGTCACTCTCTTAATACTTGGTAATTTAGTTTTTTCTAAAAGGTCAGTTACTTAGTTAAGATGTTAATCATATAGTGACTCTGTCCATCCATGTTTTTGTTCTCATTGTGGGCCACAAAAAGACAAAGACTAGTTCTGTAGGCCTCTGCTTCTCAGAAATAAGGCTCCAAATGCAGTGTGTGTGGATGTGTGCGTTTGTGTGAGTCCGTGCATGTATCTGCATCCATGCTTCAGTGTGTTTCTGTCATTCTAGTTCAGTGAGTGGCCCACTGGGTGCAGACAAACCCAGGCTTTGTGTGTATGTCCTGCTGCCATGCTGTGTACTGTACTGAATGGGCTCTGGGGAGCGAGGCGTGTGAAAATCCCACCCTTGCCCACCTAGAGACTGTCAGCTGTGTGTGTGTGTGTGTGTGTGTGTGTGTGTGTGTGTGTGTGTGTGTGTGTGTGTGTGTGTGTGTAAGAGAGAAAGACAGACTTGGAGAGAAAAAGAGCACTTGTGTGTGTGTGTGCGTGGGTGGGTGTATGGGCATATTCGTGTGTGTGTGTGTGTGTGTGTGTGTGTGTGTGTGTGTGTAGGGTGGGAAGTGGTGGGTGAAAGAGGACACTCCACACTGAAACAACCACTCTCTGTGTTGGACAGTACAGAGAGATTCTTTAATATTCTTTTATTTCATTAACTGTCGAACCTAATGACCTGACAAATGACCCCAGCAGAGGCCACTCTGTTCTCTCAGCACCACTGTGTTTCTATCTTTTTCTTTTTGTCTGCGTGTCCCTCTCTATCCCCTTGTAATTTGCTGTATAATCTGTAAATGCCAAACAAACAGACACCAGACAATTTGACATGACATAGCTTGAAATGCACAGGTGTAATTCGTAACATTAATGAAAGCTGCATTAAATTTAGGTTTTCTCAGTTCCAGGTCCATTATGTTGTGCTTAAATGGAATGGAGCCATCATTAATGTTATTAGTTACACCTCTGTCTTGTTGCTATGACAGGTCAAGGTCTGTTTTACATGCATTACATTATTTGTTTTACATATTCACTTCCATTCTTCATTGTTTTTTATTTATTATTATTTAGTTATTTATTTATTTATTCATTCTCTTTCTCTTGTGTGCATGTTTTGTATATCGTTTTTAATGACATTTGCATTGATCTCAATTGATCCTGTTTTACATTTGTGTGCCATCACTAATAAGTACATAAGCTGTTCTTTTCACATATGTATACGCATTGCACCTTTGAATTAACCTGAAGAAGTGCTGAGTGAAGAGTGTTACTCTTAAAGATCCCACACAACCTCACAGGTGTTGTTCAGTTCCTCTGGTTGATTTGACCTTTATTCAGGTCGAAGTTAGTCAGCGATAACTGTGTCAGTTGTCCCGCCGTAACAGTTGCAGCAAAACTAACACGAGCATGAGTAAGCTGTTTGTTAAGTACAGTTTGAACACGCCCATTTAGTCTTGAGAAGAGGTGTAATAAGGCAACATAAGTGAGAACACCTGTGTGAGTGGACTGTGTGTCATGTTTTGGTCAACAGCCGCTTACCTTGTACATGAGATAAACTTTCCGTTTTGCCTTCCTCAGTCTTGCGTGCCAGATGCCACATACCAAGCAAACATCTTAGCTCTATTAATATCAGTTCTGTCTTAAGTCAACATGGAACTTTTCCAGAATGGAGGCCTACGTGTGAAAGGCAAAAATTAATTACTATAACAGACCGAGGAACCCAGCAATGTTCCAGATTCCAGGTGTGGAGGGGCTTCTTTCTCTCTGCATCTCCCTGTTTTCCTGTCTCCACCCAGTCATTAATATATGAATGGATCCCTCAAAGATGGATCATCATCATCATCATCATCATCATCAATAATTGTCACTCATGTTCGTGTTGTACTGTGTCTTGCTGCATAGCATGTGAAGATTCAAGAGGCGGATGTGGGACCGATACGCTCTGGTGGAAGCGTAGTCATGTTCCCATTGTCCCCAACCATAACACAGGATGTGGTGGATTCTAATTGGGGAGGTAGATGGACAATACACATACACACACACAAGCAAATAATGAACAAGCACACATACACAAACTGCACAGACAGGACATAGGTGACCTCATTCATCTGTGACAAAACCAATAGGCAAAATAGCCATCGTCCTATTTAGCCCACCACCGAGGATGTTATTTGTTTAGCCCCGGTAGCTACCTCCTGCTGCTCATAAATGTCAAGCCTCATCATTGTTGAATGAGTGTGTTGTACAATTTGACTGTGCAGGGTGTCCCAGTGTGTTTAATGTTTTGAATAAAGGTGCTGTGTATTTATTAAGCAAGTTTGTTATGTCTCTTCACAGACACAGCACAGTTATTGTCTTCTGCCTTTATTATAGCACATATTTAGCAGAGTAGGTAGTGTTCCCTTTTCATTGAAAGTTTACTGTTAATTTGGTGTTGCTCAAAGGAGATTCTCCTCAGTAGCTCAACTATTATTGAGATATATTCAAATCCAAAGTTCTCCTCCCCTCTCCTCTCCCCCTTTTCCTCTTCTCTCCTGTCTTCTTTCTCCCTGTCTCCTTTTCTCCATACATTCATTCCTCTGTCCGTCTGCCGTATCTGTTTGGGTGTTTGTTTGTGTTTGTGGCCTTGCCTCTCCGAGCATGTAGACATATGCCCTGTTCCTCCTCTAATTGGTCCTCTGTATTCATGTGGGAATGCACAGACAGGCAGTGAGACTGCAGGCAAAGCTGACTCTTAATAAATGTCAGTCCACAGCCAAGCTACGGATGGACAGCTCACTGATGGGCTGTTTATAACAAGGCGTCACTTAATGCAAGGGGAGAGAGGAGCTGAGGCGAAGTTACAGAGATAGAGAAAAGGAATACATCAGGAGAGGGTGATGCATCTTTCCAACGAGAGATGGAGAGACGACGGGAGAGGGACAGGGAGACAGAGAAAGATGTAGTGATTGTGAAGCAGCATGGTGTACAAGAGGGAGGTCATAGGCAGGCAGCAATGAATATGGGTGTTTGGAGAGTGCATGAATACTAGCAGAGAAGTTAAAATAGTTATGTAAAAAGTATGAATAATTGATGTTAGCTAGTAATGGGTAAACAGTTTGAATAATTAGCTTAACAGTAAGCTAATTGATACAGTTGAATGAAAACTAATGCATATATGGTGAAATAGCAAAAAATAATAGACAAACTGGTGAAATAGTTACCAAAATGTAACAGATAAATTGCTAAAATAGTTAGCTAAAAGTAGGATAACTGATAAACAGTTGAAATAGCTAATATGGATGAATGGCTTAAATTAATAAATGGTTGAACATACAGTTTCTAAGTAGTATGAATATAAACACTTAGGCTATTATTAATCGTGCTAAATAACATTCAGTATATAATCCATTATGCATGTGATGTGATTTTTGTTGTTGGGTATGTGCAGCCTCTGCATAGTGTGTGTGTGTGTGTGTGTGTGTGTGTGTGTGTGTGTGTGTGTGTGTGTGTATGGAATAGTTAGTATGTGTGTGTGTGTCCCAGTGTGTTTTCAGGAATTCATCCTGTCAGGCCTGGAACCTGCTGCCTCTTAGCTCCTGTCTCAGCACAAAACAAAGCAAAAGCCCGGTTTGTTTATTGCTTTGCTGCCTTGTTTTTCTTTTGATTGTTGTCAAAGTTCTCACTGTCTCCCCTTAGGTAGCAGCCTACACCCCCCTCTTCTATGCTATTATTTACTCCCCGATGTTTAGATTGAATGAGAACATTATCAAAAGGCCCGTTGAAAAAGGAAGCAAAAGTTTAGAGTGATAAGGTATTCAGACTGATGAATGTTCTAGGTCTGTTCATTCCCAAGTGTTTTCTCCAACTTACAGAAACTAGAAAGACATATGTGCCCCTTTACATGTATCTGGGAGGCCCCTTACTGTACAGGAAGGGTTTTCCATCATGTCATCTTGTGTATGTATGTCGTATGTCAAGTCTGACGGGGGTTTGGGAAATATCTTCTCTTTGTATATTTTGGAGAATAGGACTGTATCTGTGTGTGTTTGTGTGGGCCTGCATGTGTGTGCACATAAGTGCTTGTGCTCATTTCTGTTATAAATACCAGAGGTGATTGACAGTTGCTAGTGTTTGGGCTTGACAGCTCCTATTTGTTGTAGTCGACAGGCTTTTAGTGAATGGCTGACGTTCTGAGGTTCCATGTCTGTCACTGTGCGATGGCTACAGGGCACTGTTGGGGATGTGGATACCAGTTCATGGTGCCCCCCTTTCAGCATCAATGCAAAGTGCTTATGAGGCTCCTACAGGCAGTTTTTTCTGGATGGCTCTGGGCTCAAAGGGTCATGGGAAGATTAAACATGGTTGTTTTTTGAACTATTGATTTCTTTTTGTTGTTGTTGTTGACGGGCACATAAGAGTTTTGTGTAAAGCCTCTGTCTGCAGCGTTTGCTGAATAATTCCAAGAATCTGACGCATAAGAGGAGCTGAATATTGTGGACTGGTATAGTTAATTAAAACAAAAATCCAAAGTTATTGAAGGTTGAACTTTGGGGCCCATTTTGTTGTGCCTGGTACATTTTCTAACCCAAATGGATACCAGACCAAACATACTGTGCTGGAAGTGATTTGAGAATTTGATCAGCTACTGTACAATTGAGTAGCAATATATTACACACCTAAAACATCAATTGTGAACATCAGGTTTCCAAATAAAAGTCAAGGGTGTCAGACTCTCCTTTCTACTAATCATATGTGGGAAAACAACCATAGCAGAGGCAGAGAAAATACAGTTTCTTTACTAACTGAAGACTGGAGACAACAAAGAGTCACTTTTTTTTGGGTAAGAGTTACTTTCTCTTGATTGGAAAACTGTTGCTACTGCTTTCTTCGCCTACACTTACAGTTAAATGCAGCAGGTTCATCCCCTCTCTCTCGGGGGTTGCAAAACATTCTGGGAATTGACAAAACAGTCTCACCTCAAGCTCCATTTAACTCCTCTGGGGCATTCAGCCGTATCACATGATGACGTTTTTCAGGTTGTCATGGAAATGTAGATTTCCATTTTTCCCATTTAATTTTTTCTATATTGGGTTAATTGGACCTTCAGGTGAGATTTAGCTGTCAGTTTTGAATTGTAGGAAATCACAAGCAAAATAAATGAAATAGAGAAAGTTTAAGGACCAAAGTACTGCAACTACTGGAGAACATAGAAAAGCAAATTCAGCTTGTATAACCTTTCTTACAGTTAACAGTTGAATACAAACATGCAGAGCATGGACCTTTATTATATGTAAAATAAACAGTATTTACACACTTGTAATAATAATTTTGATTTAGACGTTTGTCTGTTATTGAATCTTCACAGTTATAATGAACAGGGCACAATATTTATAATATAATAGCACAATATTTTCAGTACTCATTGGATAAACCTCCTCACTAGCATGGCTCCTGAGGAAACATGTGAGGGCACAGCAGAAGTTTTAAAAGAAATACAAAGGTTTAGTGTCACAGACTTCAAAGAAGCCCCATTACACTCACTACAGACAACTTACATGAAATTTAATCATAGTTTATGCTAAATCCAGTCCAAATGCTAATAGTCTGTGCTGTATATATACACATACTCACAATAGCCTGTCAGCTAACTGGCTAAAGGGAATACCAAGCAGCATGCTGGAGTTTGAGAAATGCTGGTTCTAATAGATCATGTCATTTTAAATGTTTGGGGGTCAATTGTCACCATACTGTAATTGCCTTATTATGCCATCCTCTTCTTGTTTGTAAAACGTAGTTGGATAACATATTAGATGTTTGATATAATACATTTAGTTTGATTAGTGTGCCATAATGAGTAGAAAGCTATTAATTAAAGTCAGCATAATGCTTAGGCCAATTTGGTACCCGTTATTCGCCTCAGAAGAACCTTTGACCCATCTCAAATTCCCCATCTGCGTTACTCCTCCTCCACAGTGAAAACCGGTGGTTACAAACTAGGCAAACCTCAACAGTGTTGACAGGGCACAGACAGATGGACAGAAACACTTGCAAGATAAAAGAAGAGGAAGCACACCTGTAGCACTGAAGCAAACAACAAAAATCTGTATTGAGACATTAAAAGACTGTGTTTTGACAGTACAGCTGCCTTTGTTAGTGAGTTTTCAATGACAGCTATGCAGCTGAACAAACACATTCAGGGGTGGACTGGCCATTGGGAAGCTTGGGAAGATTCCCGAACGGCCGATCCATTCCAGGCTGAACCGGTTGGTGGTCATAGAGTTTTTATTTTTCAATTCCTAATGTCCATAGGTATTGAATGGTCCACAGCCATGGCAGGGGCCCGCCAGGCCCTTGCAGCCTCACAGCACACAGAGGAACACTGCTTGTCAAACTCGGCCAGTCTACTTTGCAGTATTTAGACAGGATATGAGCGGGCCCTCCCAATTTGGACTGATCCTCGCTCTTGTTGAAATCTGATTTGAGTTTCCAACTGTCGCAAGTTTTTATGGCAAACATAATTAGCAAAAACGGTGAAAAGAAAGAAGACAACAGATGAAACAGAAATGGGTAGTGTAGAAAAATTATGAGCATTTGTAACTATCTAGCCCTCTACTGACTTACTATAAACACTGGGGTACAGGAGACATTGTGTTCCAACTCACCTAGGCTTGTCTGGCCTGGTCTTGTTTTGATTCCGTGCAGTGTTTATGTGCTTATACAAACTGAGGAGGCAGGTGTCAGCAAGACATCGTTGAGTGTCTTGAAGGTCCTCAAAATCATTAGATTCTCTTCATACCACAAAAACTGTATTAGGGTTAAAATAACTGACAAAAAATGTTCTGCTCGTGTTCTGAATATCAGTCCCAGTACATCTCAAACACATCCTCAAGCACACCAAACACACTCTTATGTGCGAGCAAAGTACGCCCACATTTGTTTATGTCTCAATAAGTTGTTCTTTATAAATCAAAGCCACGGATTGAACTTGCATACAAAAACAAAGTAAAGTTGGCTTATGAAAAACAATTTCAT